AGATACTGCTGTAGCCAGTGATCACAAGGGTATGCTGACACCAAGGATAGTATTAAATGGACATATGGCACCAGTTAGAGGGGCTGTCACAAAGTGGGATTCAGTTACCTGAGTAGGAAGAAAAAGACTGAGGGGCTCACAACTCAGAGAAGGGAAGGAATACAGCTAACCTCCTTTGATTAAATCTTAAACCCTATCTTCTTGCCTAATACCAGACTCCTCAATATGCTGAGCAGTGCCTAACTGATCTCAAGGCCCTTCCAGAGCTGTCTTGCTATCTCCCACCTGCTCCTGGGCTCCTCACCCTTGGACCACATCCCTCAGATTAGAAGGTCCTTCTACCTGTCAGGCAGAACTCCTCCAGGAAGCTTCCCTGTCCCCAGACCTAGCATACTCTATTGCAGTTGTCTGTTTCCCAGTCTGCATCTTGGTACTAGACTTGGTGTTCCTTCAGGCTGGGGTGGAATCTTCCTTTGCTATAGACCCTCAGGACCCTCAGCACTCTGGCTGGGCCACACAAATCTTCCTTGTAATACACCGAAGAGAGAGGGGTGAATACAACGAAGAGAGAGGGGTGAGTGAGTGACTTCTAGCCAGGTGGCCAGGGAAAGCTTCATGGCTTCAGGAGGGCCAAAATCTTCCACTTCCTTCCTCAACACATCATTGCTGCTAGTCACTGACTGTGCCTCTATGCCTCCAGATAGATGACTTTCCCCCAGAGTCAACCCGTAGGGATAACTGATCCATATCATCTGGTGCCAAGTGTTCATGAGGCCTCGGAAATAGAAAACAGTCATGGATGGACATGATAGGTGATATTTGATGGTTGTTTCAACCACAAAAAGGGATTTTTTTTAAATGAAAAGGGGTTAACTGAAATATTATACATCATTCTTAAAATTCTCCCAAGATTTTCTTTCCACTCTGTGATCTGTGGGCACCAAAAGATGACTCCTCAAGTTGTATCCAGTCCCTTCTTCAGAAATACTAGACCCAGGTCTTTGGATGGGAAGACCTCCAATGACACTCCCCAGATGATCGTAACCTTTATGACTTCCATATGCTAGGGTCTTTCTCATGTCTTGGGGTCTTCTCTGTGTCCTAAGGTTTCCCCCATGGCCTGGCTGCCTCTACTGTTTCCAACCTGGGAGACTAGGAAGGAATCCATCCATCTTGGGGTACCCTGTGATTTCACAGTATACATCCTTCTCAGGTCTTCTTGGAGGGGGGACACTCTTCATGCAGGGCCATCCCTGGTAGATCTGTCCCATGGCAGAACAGATCCCTGGTCAGCCAAAATGGCCCAAGGTGCTTGGAAGAGTTCCTAGTGCTGTCCAGAGCTCTGAATGAATCCTTAGATCAGAATTCCCTCATCTCAGGCCTGTCCTCTGTCTACCGTTTGACGCAAGTGTCAGGGAGCACTCCAGTCTTTAGCACTGTGGGCTCCAGGGCTGTGGCATAAGGGCACACTGCTGGACTGGGCACCACTGGAGGAAGTGGGAAGCTCTCCAGGAGGATGGAGCTGCTGTTATCTGGCAGCCCAGCCACAGGACAGCCCCTGTAGGAAGCCATAATACCAGGAAGATGGTCAGGAAGAGGCTCTGAGAGAGAGGCTGGAGGATGCACACTGTGACAAAAGCCCTGGGCCCAGAGAGGAACTCTGGCTCAGGATCCAGTCTATAGAAAGAGTCCCCACCCTGGCAGCACTTGAGTCTCTCTGGAGGCCTCAACTCAACAGTAGGCCAAGCAGGGCTGATGTGCAAGGCCTGCCTGCAGCAGGGCTGAGAAGCCCAATCCCAGAGGGTAGAACTAGCAAAGGGCCAGCTGCCCAGGGATCTCTGCACAGCAGTCAGCACACACGAGCCAGGTTCGGGGCCTCTTTGTACCCTACATGTGGGGACACCTGGGAATAAATCTCCCATGTTCCTAGGAGAGAATCACCCTGCCCCTATCTCAGGCACCAGGAGCCCCATAAGCCATGGTGTTCTCTCTTGTGCACATGCTTGGAAGGGCCTGGATCGAATTCCAGAACAACTCAGCACTGTGAAAACATGTAGGTGCTATGGTCTCTGTGGACAGCAGGGCTGGGAGCTCCATCTTTTTCAAAGGAAAATTCACTAACAGAAACAACCTGGAGAATACTGCAAATTACTCTTAAAAAATCCTTTCACCATAATTAGACATATGCACATCTGTGATGGGGTTACCCCAGAAACAGACCTGAGGCCAAGTGTTGTGTTTTCAAAGTTGGTGACATCTGCTCAGTTGTGGCCCTGGCGGGGGAGCGGGGGCAGCACGAGGGTGCCAGGCCCTAGCCCCAGCACACTTGACCAGCTTGGAGCACACCAGACAGGTTCAGGTGAACAGCCACTGTCTTGGCTCTTCCACTAGAAACCACAACTGTGGATTTTTGCTCTTTACTATAAAATAGGAGAAATTCAACTGGGAATACAGAAGGGATTTTTTTTCAAACCAGTGTTTTTTTTGTTTTTTTTTGTTTTTTTGTTTTGCTTTGTTTGAGAGGTGAGAAATGAAAATCACACATGACATGTGGAAGAACAATATATAGTATTTCTCTACCAGGGTTTGATGCTGACGATTGCTGCTGTACCTATGAACATATGCTCACTTAAGCCCACAAAGTCCATTTCACTTCCTACTTGGGAGCACAGCATGAACAGCACCCCCAGGCTGTGAGTCGTCTGTGCCCAGCCCTGAGCCTAGCTGGATGCAGGCTGGTGTAGGCCAGTGCATTTCTGCTGCCAGAGCTAAGTGGACATATCTGCTGCATTTCTTCTGGGAGTGGGGCTTCCTTCAAAGGTACCTTTCATCAAGAGGGTCCCTCCGGGTGTCTTCTGGACTCACTCTTGTTTGCTGATGGAGAAGAATTGTTAGTAGAGAGTAAACCTTGAGTGAAGATAAAATACCTGATAAATGTCTAACAGGCTGGGAATGTGGAGAGTAGGTCGAGCGCTGGTTTTCCTTAGCAACATGCTTAGGAGGTCAAGACTGCAAACAGTATCTTTCTCAGTGTAGATTCCTACTAGTTTGGCTCTACTGTCATGAGTCAGACTGAAGTTAGCCCTTTGTTTTGCAAACCAGACAGAGAGAATTTTTTGTCAAAGAACCAGAAATGTTTACAGAACTATTATTGTCCTTCCCTTTCCAAGTCCATCCCCTGTTTAAGGCCTGGAGGATAGAGTCTTCCAGGGAGAGTGTTCAAGTAAGAGGGTGGGCTTGTACACCTACTTCTGCCTCCTGATGAGACCCAGCTACCTCTCCTAACCAGGCTGCAAGGTGGAAGGGAGCAGGCCAAGACCTAAGGGATTTGCAAACAGACATGGACGCAAAACACAGAACAACCATTTCTCTTCGTGCCTGGGAACTCTGTTGATCTCAAGGGGACTTGAGCTTTGCTGGCTGAGAGCACAGCAGCAGTGGCTGTTACTGAGACCTCTTCCACACTTCTGAGTGTGAGAATAACACTCCTCCGGACCTGATGAGACAGGCGGTAAGGAGGCCTGAGCACTGATCTGGTGGCCCCAAGGAGTCTGGTGTGCACATATCTGAGAGGTATCCGGGCTCCTGCCAAACATGGCAGGTGAGCTGGTGGGCATGCCTTTGGGGCACCCTGGGCATGTGGACTGGACAGTCAACACTGGTTTTGGTACTGTCCCCAAAGGACAGGAAAGGCTGTCCTTGCCTTGAATATACCCTCTAGTGTTGTGGGGCTCACCAAAACCCTGGCAAGCACACTCTAGTCAAAAGACTAGTTTTATATAGAAAGGTTTTTAAAAGAACTACACAATGTGGTGAAGCCAAGAGGGAATGAGAATAAATCATTCATACAGCGAGGCCAATGAAGAGAATAGTTCCCAGCTGAAGGTGTGGGTCTGAACTGTCTAATACAGCAATGGGCAGTGCAGTGGCCCATAAGCACTGGAGATGTCTCACTGGATTTCAAAAACTGAATGTGAAAAATGGCAAATACCTCATCAAAAATCTTTTAGTATAAATTACATGTTGAAATGATAATATTTTTGGATATTGGCTTTAATAGATCATACCATTAAAATGAATTTTGCCTTTCAATTTTATTGGCCACTAGAAGATTTTAAATTAGATATGTGACTTGATTTATAGTTTCGTCAGGCAGCACTGATTTGAAATCTGGATTCTAGTCTTGGTTAATCCAGTGTCTAGCTGGGTAGCAACAGCAAGCTCATTGGACTTGGATTTCTTTTGTGAAATAAGCTCAATATTCTTCACAGTTAAAAGAATAGCTGAGGGACACCTGGGTGGCTCAGTTGATTGGGCGTCTGACTTTGGCCCATGGGTACAAGTCCTGCATCAGACTCTGTGCTGACAGCTCAGAGCCTGGAGACTGATTTTCATTCTGTCTCCCTCTCTCTCTGCTTCTCCCTCCTGCCCTCCCCCCACCCCCCCAAAATAAATAAACATTAAAAATTTTTTTAAAAATAGCTGAAAATGCTGTCTACACCAACTATGAGACCAGCATCCGCCTCTTGTTTCTCCGTAGAAAACAAGTCTGTCCCATGTGGTTGAACAGGCTGTGGATTGCATAGGGATCATACGTTGAAGGGAGGGGTTGCTGTTCACAGTGCACATAAGTAGATTTGTATATTTAATATAATAATAACCTGGTACTTGGCAATAAATATCTTGTTCTAACAAAATGAATATATTACAGTGATTTTCCAACAGATAGAGCAAAGGCATCTTGAGGAAGTGATATCTTTTCTATAGTTGGGCCTGCGTCAGTCCTACCAGAACCTGAGGCCAGCCTGAATTCCACTCCAAGGACAGCTGCTCTGCTGGTATGACCTCCATCTCTGTCATAGGCCTGATGCATCCGAGGGCAGGAACCTGGTGCCCTAATTCAAGCCTTCATTTTACAAAATGTCATTGGTGTCTGGTGCCAAAGAGCTAAAATAACCAGCTGGGCCATGGCCAGGGCTTGCCCATGATGGGCCACTTACCTTCTCATTTTTTTTCTCATCTGGTCTGCATCCTGTGTTGGTGGGGCTGGATGTCGACAGGCCACTGACAGGCCCCCCTCCAGCCTCCCCGTTGAGGTTGGCGGCATTGACATTGGGAGGTGTGACGGCTGATGCTGCAGACGTAAGTGGGATGGCCGGCCGGGGGCACTGGGCCCCGATGACCGTCTGCACCTGGGGCTGGTGGATGTGCTGTGGGGACACCACGGAGTGGGGTCTGAGGCTGGCGGTGGGCAGGCGGGACGGGGAGTTCTGGGTGCGCAGGGGCGACACGGTGGCCGTTGGTCGGTCCTGAGCCTGGGCTGAGGAGTGGGCAGCTGGAGCACGGGATTGGAAAGAGAGTGGGGTTGGAAAGTTAGTTTGCAACTGCAATGCAATCGCAGCAGACTCTTTGCTTGGGCTCGTCTTCCCAGGGCCCACCACCTCTCTCTGTGGTCTCTCCAGACCTGGCCACACTCCACGGGTAGAGAGACTAAGGCTGAGCAATGGGGAAAACACATCCCATCTTCCCAAAGCCCTGCCATGGCACAAAACAGCCTGCCTGCAGGAGGAGTGAGAACATCTTTTCCAAGGTTGCCACAAGCATGGGCATGTTCCCAGTCTCCTATAAAGCCATCTACATGGTTTTCTCTGCTGTGATGAACTAAGACACTCAGAAGGTTTTTTTAAAATGCCCTTGTTAAAATGTTCGTGAAAGTAAAGCATGACAGAATCCTGAAGAAGCCCCAAGATGCCCCAGAACTCTTAGACACCACTGCATGTAAGGTGATCATTGCCAAGAGCACAATTCTGATTCATCTCCACCCCAGAACTATAACCCAGTCTTTTGTGCACACTTGGTACTTGACTTGGCTGAGCTACAGCCAAGTGTGTGAGGCAGCTTTAGCTGGTGACAGGCACATCAGAAAGGCAGCTGCAGCCTTGGGGAGAACCATCACTCTGCCCCCTTCAATCTGCCTGAGCTTGTTGCCTTGCCTACACATGGAAGCAACAGTTTATAGATTCACACATGAGGAACCACACAATGACAAATCTGCCCCCTACTGCCAGCAAAAATGCCTCCTAAGGATGTTAGGGGTCTAAAGGCATAACATTTGTAAAACTTTGCCATTTGAAAACATAAAGTCCCTTCTAAACACAACACCAAATTAAAATTAATCCTGCTGTAGCCTGTGCTAGTGATTTTGAAGAACTGTCTCCTTACTAATTACAGAAGAAACCTACAGGAGGACAGAATGAGCCACACCAGAGGAACGGTGACTTGTGGGCTGGGCTGGTGATCCAAAGGGAGACACAGGTTGTGGCAGCCAATACCACTTCTCACCATGGGTCCCATGCAACATCATGCAAGTCAGATTCAGTCATTTTTGCACTGTTGCCCAGAGAACAATTACACATCACACTGTCCTTATTTTCTACCATCAGAATTCGTGGCATTCATGGTTTTAGCAACATGAAAAAACACATGCGATAAAACAATATTCTCAGTGCCCAAATATGCCTTGAATAGATAATCTACTCATAAATCCTAACAGTGCTTCCCTGGCATATGAAGTAACTCAGCTCGACAAATGACAGCCCTCCACATGCAAGCCAGGCCTCTTCCTTCTGACAGCACTGCGTGGGAAAAGTGGGTGAGATCTGATTATGTGATCCCGGGTTCTTCACCGGGAGATCCCAGAAGACTCTCACCGTGTCCTCTGTTTCTAGGAAGTAAAATATATAAAGACTGATTTATGGTTTTAAAAGTATTCAGGGTTTGGGGTGGGTTTAAATCCTCATTCAACATGGCCCCACATTTCAAAAGACCAACTTAGGTAACTATGCAGATCGATGAAGCCACTGGGGTCACTTAATCAGCCCGAGGTAACCCGTGACTTGGACAATGCTCCTGGGGCCATTTGTCTGCCTCTCCCCAGCTGTCTGAACTCTCCTTCACCCCAGCCCCCTGGCCTTGGAATGAGAAGTGGTGGCTTGGCGAGGAAAGAACAATCACTTGGGCCTGAAAGACTGCAGGGGCTGCTCTAGATTCTTCTACCAAGTCCCACACAACTCCCCTCCACCTCTGGCTTGCTTCCACATGCCTGCCACATTGCCCTGCCAAACCCAATGTAAGAGGACAGGGTGTTCCAGAAAGTTCTAAGCCTGTCTGCCAGGCAATCTCTTTGACACCCTTCCCAGTTCTCTCCCTTGTTCCTCTTCTCAGCCACTCCAGCCTCCTGGCTGCTCCCCCCAACACAGGCTCTCTGTCACCTCAGAGACTGCTGTATATACCACTCTCTTCTCCCCCAGAGAGCCACATGGCCCCTTGGTTGCTTCGGGCTGCTTCTGATCACCTCAGACACCGCCTTCCCATGGAAACCTGTCCTTGCCAACCCAACAAAAAGTGCAGGCTGACACTCTGTGATCCCAGACCCACTTCCCCTGCTTTAATTTCCCTTTCCTCCCATGGCACTATCTGCTCTTAACAGTTTGTATGATGCACTCTTCATTATGTGTTCACTGCCCATTGCCTGTCTCCCCCCACTACAAGGTAAGCTTCACGAAGGTGGGACATTTGCTGTGTAGTTCACTGATATTTTCCAAACAGCTGGATTGGTGCCCAGAATGCAGTAGATGCTTGATAAATTTCTTAAATGAATGAACAAGTTTTTGAGAAAAGAGAACCTCAGCTAAAACATCTCTACAGATTTCACAGAATTGAACCACTGGAGAAGAAAAAAAAAAAAAAACTCCATGAGAAAGAGGAGCATGACTCATCACACTGGCTCATAGAAGAAAGTAGGGTTTCATTCATGATCAGTGGGATTTAACCTCAATTTTACCCACCCTGTGTCACCCAACCTCAGACTGACCTAAACTGCTATCTCTCTAGTCATCCTACTAGTTAGCAATGTCAAAGCAACCTGTACAACAGAGGCAAGCAGCTTGAGAAAATGCTATTATTGCACAATCTCTGTTAGTCTTTGCCTCTCCTCTTTAAAGCTTTGGCAGGCTCCAGCAATTCTGGAGTGCCTAAATCCCATTGGGCCTCACTCAGTTCACTGCTATGTCATCCTGTAGGTGATTTAAAAAGAGTAGTTGAATGAATAAATGACCTATCTTACCATCAACATTGTCCATTTCTTATTCTCAAGTTTATCATTTCCAACTTCATGGATGAAATAGAACACTGGCAACTCCCCAAACTTCAGGCCAGCCTCTCTCTCAACTCATCCACATCTATACCCACCTCGCCTTCTAATCTCAAGGATATATGGTCCCAACAGGTCTACCCATTCATGCTCATCTCAGTCCTTTCTCCTGGCTCATCCCCTTCTTGCTTGTATTAAATTTATTAACTTTCCTCCTGTAATTTAATAAGCAAGTTACAGCTCTAATTTCAAAAATAGTCCTTCTACTAGCCAGTACCTCCTTTTCCTGTTTTTCTTTATACCTAGTGTCCTTGAATAGTGTCTGCTTTGGTTCTTACTTTTCACTCATTTCTTTGCATGATCTGTATTTGCTCTCATGGCAGTTTTCATCTCTGCTTTGTGTTCTGGATAAATTCCCATGTATGCCTTCCAGTGTCACTAATTCCATCTTTGACTGTGTCTACACTTGTTCTTTCTTACTTTTACTCATTTCTTTGTGTGATTTGTATTTGCTGTCATGGAAGTTTTCGTCTCTGCTCTGTGTTCTAGTGTGACTACTATCCATCTTTGACTGTGTCCAGTCTAGAAATTATGTCACCTATAAGGATTTTGTATTTTAAATATATATTTTTTCCCTTTCCAAAATTTCAAGTTTTTTTTTCATATTCATCAGTTTCAGATTCATAGCTATCCATCTAATTTTTCCCCTTCATACACCCTGTTTTTTCTTTGTTTTTTTTGGGGGGGGGATGGTTAGATGTTATTCTTTATTTTTCCTTTTAGAGGATCTTAAATGTACTGATACCAAAGACTTTTTCAGATTTCTTTCTCATTTCTCTCCCATTTCTTCAGTTTATTGGCTATCTTTTATGCGTTAGTGTTCCCCCTGTGCTTTGAGACTTCAGTATGCACACTCGTCTTGTGTATGACAGTCTTATTGCTATTTTTTCCTCATTCTGAAGCTTCTGAATGGTACTCTGGGACCTCCCCCTCAGAACCAGCTGTAACAGGATGGTTTGAACTCTGGTCCTGTAGGAATGGTGCAGATCTTGTCTTCAGGCCAGAGCCAAACTCAGCTCCATGCCCAAGTAGCACTCTCTATTCTCTCCCATACCCCAGAGAGTAGCTCAGTAGTAACCATTCTCGAAGAAGAGACTGTAGCTGTTCAAACAATTGCACCTAGCTCTGATCCCCTGATACTCACTCACCAGGGACTTCCTGTCTATTTTCTCCTGCAGGAGTTGAAAGTTAGCCAACACTGCCTGCTTTTCACTCCAGTTAGCCAATGCTTCAATCCCACTTAATATTGTGTGTTCCATTTTGTTTAGATCCATAAAGTTCATTTGTAAAAAATTAAAAAACCCATTTCTGTGTTTAAAACAGAGAGAATAGGGGATTTCCACATGAACTCACTCTCCTATACTATCCAGGAGTCCTTCATTCCCTTCTCAGTCTACTAAAATATGGTTTCTTACCTTCATTCCATCAAATATTATCTGAACAAGATCAATTATGACTCCACCTGGCAGCAAATTTAATGGACACTTTTCTGTTTTCAGAAAAAAGTATCCAATGATCTAGTGGCTTACTTTTATACCAGTATCACACTAACTTGGTTACTATTGTTTTATAATATGTCTTGACATCAGTGTGGCCTTCCAACTTTGTTGTTCTTTTCAAGGCTGTTTTGGCTATTCTAGGTCCTTTGTATGCCTGTGTGAATTTGAGAAACAGATTACCAATTTCTACAAAAAAGTTGAGTGAGATCATGATTAGTATTCCATTGAATCTATAGGTCAAATTTTTGAAGAATAATTACTTTGACAAATTAAGTCCTCTCACTCATAAATGAAGTATATTTCTCTGCTTATTTCAGTCTTATTCAATTTCTTTCAGCAATATTTGGTAGTTTTCAGCAGATAGGATGTCCTCTTCTCTTATCAGATGTATCCCTAACTAATTTATATTTTTCATGTTATTAAAATTGCTGTCATTTTTTTTTTTAATTTTTTTTTTCAACGTTTATTTATTTTTGGGACAGAGAGAGACAGAGCATGAACGGGGGAGGGGCAGAGAGAGAGGGAGACACAGAATCGGAAACAGGCTCCAGGCTCTGAGCCATCAGCCCAGAGCCTGACGCAGGGCTCGAACTCACGGACCGCGAGATTGTGACCTGGCTGAAG